TGTGTGTGTGTGTGTGCACCTTCATCTTTCCTCCAGGAACGTGTCTCACACGCGCTTCTATCTCACCTGCTTCTCTCGTTTTCCGTAGCCTTTCGCGTACGTTCGCGCGTGCGTGCGTATGTGTACGCATAAGTACACGCACGATGGACTATCGATTACACTTTCGCGTCAATTATACCGTTCACGATGCACGTTCCCATTTCGAGCGATTTCGCGTCTCGTGCCGTTTGCACCTGATTTCTCGTCGAAATCGAGAGAGATTAAAATACATTTTGAAGACTGACCTGTATATCAGCCGCATGCCAGAGATTACGTATGCCGTGGTAAAAATAGATTTTTCGATGAAATTCGAAAAACCGACGTCTTAACTCAGATATTGAAAATCGAATGTAACGTAAAATTGTAAAATGTAAATGTAAAATTAACAATTAAATGTGACATTTTTTTTCTTAACTCAGGTATTGAAACGGATAATACTGACTTTCCTAGACTTCCCTCTGCGCTCTCTAATATTTCATTTCTATCGGCAGTTAAAAAGTAATTTACATGCACCGCTATTGCTCGACGCAAAATTAACATCACTGTATTACACAGTAATCGACATCTCCCTCTTGAAGACACGCGTCATTATTTCTACAAAGCATATTATCTAATAATGGTAGCGGAGTTGAGTAAAAAAGAGAGGAAAACTCTTTTCCACGTCGGTGAAGAAAAGTTCATGCTTACGGTGTTTCGACTTATTACTGCGGCGTTGTATACGATATCGCCAAGTGAGTAATCGATAGGAAATTGTAAATATAAAACATAATTACTTAACAATGTAACGTGCGGTATAATGTAATGTAATGCACAGAGAATGTCGACGAAAAATTCAAAAGATATGGCGTGAATACATATAATAACGAACAAATGAAAAATCAAAGTCATGTAGCTCGATTGAAATTTCGAAATTGTGATTTGCGCAACGTGCGATATTATTGAATTCGCCCGGCGAATTCACGTGGAAATAATGATAGACTGGTGTACATTTTTCATTGCCAATTTCTGGGCGGCAAAAAAATATGTACAATCTTGCACGCAAACTATGAATAACACTTTCGCTACAATTATCGTGAAATTTTCGTGAAACTTATATTGTGTGCCCGTTTACTTTATTGCGCACGCTTATTTCGCGACCTTTTCGGAAAGTGAGACGAATAAAAGCGCGTGTGTATGCAGGAGTTGCGGTGATACCGTGGTCGTGAGACGTCAATGCGCACCTGACTTCTGCGTGATGCAAATTGCTCGCGTTGCAGTTAATTTCCCAACGGGAATCAATGGCAACACCTGTGGGGTCATTTCTGATACCCGCGACGCTACCTATCAGACGATGGAACGCACGCGCGCGAGAGCACGCTCGAAGCTTAATTACGTTTAATTAACTGTAAATTGTTCCGTAAACCGATATGTTGCGATCGTTCGCGAATTTATGAATAGCCTTGTTAATCAATTAAGGGACGCCTCTTCTTATACTCGCGGTCCTTCGTCTCTTTTATGCTTTTCCATTTCAACATTTTCTAGGCTGCACGCGTTATTTCCAAATCAAAAATCACGATTCAAGCACAAGTATTTGAAGGAAAGAAATGTGCATGACATCCATATTGCAAATAAATAGCAAATATATCGTGCACAATATTGCAAGTATATGAAGTACATAGACACTCGTAATTATGTAAGATATTCCTAAATGGGAACGACGATAGAAATGAGAAGAACATCAACGCTGATCGATCAGCAGCGATCTCAATAAAATGTTCTTATAATGCGATTAGTTTATATTGGCCGCGATCTTATCAATCTGCACCATCACTCTTGTTTATTCTATCCGGTTCTAAATTATTCAGACGTACTCAAGGTTCTCTTCGTTAAGTTCTACTTCTACGTATATCCGCGGACGGCAATCGTTGAAAAATAAAAATTGTCTTTAGGCTCTCACGAGTTAATGTTTCCTCGAACATAAATAGAAATATGTAATTTCATCCTTGACAACGATATTCTCTTTAGGGCTGCGATTATCAACATTTGTTTTTCAACATTTCTGTAATCAATAATTGCGATACTTATCACGAATCAAACGTCACATATCGAAAGACTCTCGTTACAATTTTACAAACATTATCTGGACGCGGTAAGGTACGACATCGGGGAGAAGAAGGGTAAAATTGCACGAGACGGCAGATAAAAAAGAAAAGAATCGGGCCATCACAAGCGAGGCATTAAACTTATCCGAATTCGAGGCGAACACGACGTAAAAGGAACGGCACCGTCGTCGGCTCGCATTATCGCGTATTCCCCGAGGGACATTAATAGAGTGACGTCGCATCAGAATTATAACGTACCACGTGGTAAGACACGAGGAGAGAGAAAGAGAGCGAGAGAGAGAGAGAGAGAGAAAGAATGTGTGTATTCTCCGGTGTACCGTCAATAAAGCCGTCGCAATAATTATCGTGGCGTCGTCTCGTGGGGCGTCATTAGTCGACAACGTCGCGTATACGGCTTTTAATGTTTCACAAACGCTTTACAGGTACGACGCCGGCGACGACGACGACGATGGGAGTCGTTTTATCGCTGGTCGTCGACGTGCTCGTCCATACGGCACGAATGCACATGTGTTCCGAAGGACTGTACGACCGAGTTATTTTGATATATATATATATATATATATATATATATATACACAAGTTGAAACTGCCAACATTGTTATGTCTTCGCATCGCGAACGCTCGCGTGCCTGTCATGGTGGAATAAAAATTATCGAGCACGGCAACGCGGTGCAGCGCGGTGTGTCTCGATAATGAGCGATAAGGAGTCCTACTTGATGCCGTTCTCTTCGCGAAAATACTTCGTGTCCGGTTTTTCTCAAATAAGACATTGCACTTTTGATCGGTCTTCGTGAGTTTCTGTCGTGCCCGCTGCGGAAAACTCCGATAATAACTGGTTTAACATTACACGATGGAATGCTCGTGAAAAAAATCGCTTTTAGACTAAGCGCGATATACCATGAAAAATTATGCACTTTATCGGGCTATTCGTGTCGGGCAACGGCGTAATAAATATAAATGATCACGGATATCGGTTTTGTGATGCATGAAAACGTATTCCTCTCTTTTTTTTCCATCTCTGTGACGATAATTAAGCGTAGAAAATGACGACGTTATTTCTCCTGGTTAAACGTTCGTTAAATGCGAAATCTCGAGAGGAATCGATGGACAATCGCGAATGATATATGAGTTATTGACGCTTTCACCTTCGAAAGATGCTTCGTGCTCTTATAAATCGAATCACGTATGTCACAAGAAGGACTGGTCGTTGAGTAGATCGACTAACATGGTGGTGAAAGTGCAAAGACCGAAAAGCGCCACAAAAATTAAATAAATTAATCGACGATGATGTCGTACCTTTTCAGATATCGATGACGCAACGGTTAATAAATCGGCATCGTACGATGCAACCGTAAACTGTTAATATAAATTAACAGTTATAATATAAATTAACTAAAATCAAATGTTATTTTTCTTCATACAAGAATGTTTACTTATGTTCGTGAGAATAATGTTAGCGATTATAAAAATTGTTTAAATGTGTACATATTATTAAGAAATAATAGTGGGAATTTCATCAAATATATGCGATAAGGAATGTGATAAAAAATATATAATTGGTAAGTAACGGTAAATTTAATTATTATAAATGTGGCAATCATGAGAAGATAAATAAAAATAAATAAAAAATAAATAAATAAATAATAAATTATTTCGACTTGTGTAATAAAAATAAATAAATTTTATATCAGTGCATATTAGAAAATTGTAATTTTATGTGCATTTAATATATGATTTTTTTTTTATTAAAATGTATAAGTACAGCCATTAGAAATTAGTCTTTTAAGTCCAATGCAGTGTATTTTATTGTATGATAATCCTTTAATACATTATTCTATTTTATAGGTAAGGATCGTACGTATACGTAAAACCTGCATTTAACAGAGTTTTTTTCTAGATAAATAACTATATAATTAGATACGATGCCTATTTGGTATTTTATTAAATAGAATATATTTTAAGCTTTCACCGCCATCAGGTGGACGGCCGTCACTTTACTCACATGATCAAATGTTTCAGCGCGCAAAATAAACGCTGCATTACCGACTTCGGTAAAGAAGTTGTCTTACCCATTTATCATGCGTACGTTGATGGGTTCAATCTTGTGAGTAAAGCGATGGCCGCCTGATGGCGCCAAAAGATTAAAATATATTCTATTATTAAAAAAAAAACGAAACAGGCATCATATTTAATAGCTATATAATTATTTCTCTAATAAGAAAAATTATTTGTTAAATGCAGACTGTACCTATAAATACGGACCTTACTTATAATATAGAATGACGCGTTAACGGATTATCATGTTGTCTGAGTACAGCTCTCGTATTTTTTCAGGGGAAACCAAAATGAAATGTAAGACTGACATTTAATAACTCATTATGAAAAGCATATGATTTGTTCAGTGGGCTAAATGTTGCACTTGAAAAGAATTGTACTTGTTTAAGCACGATTTCGTTGGTTCGAATTTCATTATCAATGCATTAATACGAAAATCGCATGTTACTTGATAGTTTCAAGTATATCGATTCCGCGAGATATTCAATCTCAGCGGTTGTTTTAAAGTATCATACGACGAAAACATCAAACTTACGTCATTCCTAGCAATGATATCGGTGCAAGACTCGCGATCGGCGAAACGAAAACGCGGCAAGAAAGGGATCAATTGTCGATTACGCGATGCTCCGCCGCCATCCTTCTTGCAACTGAAGTCCGCGCCATTTTAGGGTGCTATGCGCATGAACGCTAAACAGCGTTTCTTCGAACGCACCCATCGTCCAACATAGTTTCTTTTATTTCTCTCCCCATTTATCAACTTTTGGGGAAATTCAGGTCGTGACAACTAGCAATCCTGTTCTGCGTTCTTGTCCAGGCAGTCGAGGACAGTCAGATCGTAACAATATCGAATTCGAAGAGAAATATTTGTGTCTTTATTTTCAAGTTTAATGTATAACGGACTTGATAAGTTTATATATCAGATTTTTCTCTAGCAAGCGTTCTATGTATTCTTAAATTTTGTATACAGTGTATAATATAATTTTAAAATCTAACCTAATATAAATTTAAACATTGTGCGTCTTTGCCATTTATAAAACATGAGTCGGAAAATGAGGAAGAAGCACGTGAATAATTGGCTGTGCAAACCGAAGAAGGAGAAGAACATAAATCTTCTACCGAAAACGCATGAAGAATTCAGTCATGCGGAATATTGGAATGAGTTTTTCGAAAAACGTGGCGAAAAAGCCTTTGAATGGTATACAAATATTTTGGCCTTGTTAGTAATTTTTAGGATTATTACACAGGGCGTTGTTAATTATTTTTGTTGGGGGTTTAGGTACGGCGAATTTTCACAATTGTTTCACTTTATTTTAATAAATATCAAATGGAAGGATGACATTTTAGTTGTTGGTTGTGGAAATTCTAAGCTAAGTATGTCAATGTACGATAAAGGTTACAGGTAATATAATTTATATATATATATATATATATATATATATATATATATATATTCTTTTTAATGCTTAGTTATAGTCAGGATTGATTATGAAGCTAATCGATAGGTAATTAACAGTTAATATTGTTTCTAATGAGTATATTTATAAATTATATAGTATATTTATCTAATGAGATCTATATTTATCTAAAATCTAAATAATCATTATATATCTAATGAGTATATTTATAAATTATATAGATTATATTTATAAATTATATAGTATTAAATAGTATGAGTAAATTTATAAATTTTTTTCTAGAAATATCACTAATATCGATATATCACACATTGTCATCAAACAAATGCAAGATATAAATAATGCTAAAAGACCAGACTTAGTGTTTGAACACATGGATGCCACCCAAATGACGTATCCTGATGAGAAGTTCGATATAGTTCTAGATAAGGGTACATTGGATGCTTTAATGCCAGACAATGAGCAGGCTGCAGTACTGAAACAGCTGCGTACAGTGGAAAAATATTTTGAGGTATATTGTCACTGATCATACACAGATGAACTCTTTGTATAACATTCATTTTAACAACTGGCAAAACCTTCAGGAAATTAAACGAGTGTTACGCCATGGTGGCAAGTACATGTGCGTATCGTTACTGCAGGAGCACATTCTTAAAGAGCTCTTGTCTTATTTCCCTACTTCAGGCTTCATGTTTAACATATCTCGATGCCATCAAGTAGAAGCAAAGGCACGAATGGAAGAGGGCATCTCATATCCAGTTTTCATGGTCATTGCGACGAAAGCCACCCAATTACCAAAGGATCTTATTGTCCGTAAAGATTATTCTTAGAATTGTCACGTTGTTTTGCTAGTGATGTTGTGATACTATTCATAATACTGGTATCGATATTTTTCCTTCAATAATAGGTATTCTTGTATCGATATTTTCTTTCGATTTTCATAGCTATATCAGTGCTACTTTGTTTTGATATCTTTTATTTATTTTTGCTCGGTCGATCTCCAAAATATGTATTTATAAAAATTAGTGTAATATGCAACTTACGTTTTAAACCTAATTTTTCTCATAATTGCTGTTGCATTAATTTTACGGTTATTTATTGATTATTGAAATAAAAGAAGAGAGTGTTATTTTTGATAGTGTGTGGAATCGATCATGAGTGTCATTTTGTGCATATATTGTTTAATTTCTACGTATAACGTAATAATTTTTTAGAATGCGATTTCTCGCTTTTGATGTTATCAAGGACAGTTATAGCGAGGACATAAGTCTTAATAACTCCATTTCCAAGTTTTTAGATCACAAATCATAGAAAGTCTAGTGCAAAAGTGTAGAAGTACCTTATATCACTGAAGATTATTATGCGTAGATGTACGAAACTCTGAAAAGTAGCTTGCAAGACAAACATTTATCTGATTTTTATATTTCGTCCAATTTTAAGTTTTGAGTTCCAATATCAAAATTGGTATTGATATTTTGTTCTGATACTATTATCATGAATGATATCGATACTCTTAGATACCCGTTTCAATATTAGTATTTACAATTTTATAGTATCACAACATCCCTAGGATTAGCTGATTGACCGGGTAAGCAAGTACGTCCAACTTATTTGAAAATTATGATCTCGATAGTTGCTCGAGCTTGCATTGACCGACGACACACCTGAACGCGTATCATCCACGAACGACATGATGTCCGCAATATTGTGCGCGCAACAGTCGGCGATGATTTGCAGCAGTCTTCGTAATAAAAACACCACTAAAGTGGGTGAAATAATCTTTGACCTGTATCGGCCAAAGGAAAAACTTCCGCGTTATACCGTCTGCGTTCTCGAACAGCCGCGCATACGCAAAGCGAAGACATATGCGGCATTTATAGTCCCACAAGGAAGGTAAGTATGACATCCTCTTCCTTTTCGCGGGTAAATTTATGCGTCGATATCAAATGTCGAACTATGTCGAGTCGGTTACAATGTATTCTTTTCCGATTCAACAGGGAGATGGATTGGTTGTTCTGTACGAAGGAGGGGCGGCTGCAGGTTTTGGATAACACGGGGCGAGAGAGGCTCGCGATCTTCATCTTAAACAGAGAGCACAAATTCGAGAGTTTGGATGCCGTGCAAGCCGAGCTGGCAGAATGCGTGCGCAATCTAGCACCAGCCGGTCTCTGCGGCGTGAGCGATATCCCTTACTTGTCCTTGGGACCAGACATTGCAGTTCGCAGCGTTTGCTACGAGGGAGACAGCATTATGAGCGGGCCGTTTGTGGTCGAAGATATAAAGAAAGACGGCCATAAGTTCAGACGGCTCGTGTTCTTGAGTAATCCCTACGTTATCCAGAGCGAGATGAGGTTTATGAAATGTATGTATCGACACACGAGCAATCTGGCGGGTCGTTTTAACTTATCCCTGTCGTAATTTTTCACAGCTAAAAACGTACATAAAAAGGGGAAGAAGCTCGATTTTGGATTTCTAGCCTGTGAGCATCATGTATATATGAGCGCCGGTGTAAACACAGTGATAGATATCAACGAGCCGGACGAGATTATGATTATAGGTCTAGGGGGTGGTGGACTTTGCTCGTTTTTGCATCATTGTTTTCCCAAAGTATGTATCACTGTCCTAATGTTTTTCATCAGACCCAACGTTATCGCGATTCCTTCCTTTTTAGAATGTCGTTCCTTGTAGAATAGAAAAACAGAACGGAAATGAAATATAGGAGGGATAACCAATCGTTTGTCATTCCACTTCAATCATAAGTAACCGTATTTCTCATGCACAGGAAAAATAGAAATCCATAAAAATGAAAAATCAAATCTTTTAATTGCAATTAATAAAAATAATCAGTCTTATGAAGAAAATATGTAGTTATGATAAAGTCTAGGAATTTTTCATATAATTTGAGTGCAGTTATAGGAATTCATAGTTATAGAACATATAGTTATAGGAATTCATAAAAGTTATAATAAGTTTGAAATAAGAATTCTCTTAATTTTTATCTTGTAAAATCCGCTGGATGAGGAAGCCGATAATTTGAGATCGGAACAGATATTAAATATGAATATATACATATACAGAATATCCAAATTCCCGCATGCGAAGTGTCTAAAGAGATTTTTTATATCAAAAGAGTAACTTTTTCCTTGATCAAAATTGGGTTCGTACAACAGTATCCAAGAAATAAGCGATTGATAAAATAAGGTTTTTCGCGAATTAAACTTCGGGCGAATAAGATTATTTTCTTCGGTCAATTTTAAGTAAACTTTACTTAATCTACAGAATCTAAGGTTTAGCTTCAATGATATCTTATGTTGAAAATTAAAAAGTCACTATAAATAATGACCTTGCAGGATATTTTCGCTGAGAAAAAAATTGCTTCTTTTGGTATTAAGAATCTAACACTCTGCAGGAATTTTGGGACACCTTGTGTACACGTATGATAATGCGATAATATTACTTAACAGTAATATAACTTATCGATGACCAAATATATCCAGTAGAAAGTCATAATCGTCTGAGATATATATGTTCGAATTTCCGGCAATCGCACTGATTTGGTTATACCTTACTATATCTTTTCCGTTTCTATATGGGACGGCAGCTTTATGCACGATGAATTGAAACTTTCGTTCATTTCAGCTGAAAATTACTGCTGTTGAAATCGACGACGCAATGCTGGAAGTGGCCACCAAGTATTTCAATCTCATTCTTGACGACAGAATGAAAGTGGAGATCGCGGATGGAATCGAATTTATCAGATACAGTATACGCTGTAAGAAGAAGTACAAGGCTATACTGTTCGACATCGACAATAAAGATACCACTGTCGGGATGAGTTGCCCGCCCAGAGAGTTTCTCGATTCGACGCAGTTGGAAGCGGTCGCGAACCTCTTGACGGAAGACGGCATTTTCATCTTGAACCTGGTCAGCAGAGACTTAGATTTGAAAAACAAGGCAAAGAGAGCCTTACGGTTGGCGTTCCAGTCGATCACTTGTTACGCTATTCAGGGTGAAGTGAACGAAATCATCATGTGTTCCCTGGAAAAGAAGGATAAGAAGGAATGGGGGGACATACTGAAACTCGCCGTTGCCAACCTGAACAAGCAAGCTGCCGCGAGAAAATTATCCTCTTTCGAAGAAGCATTCGACGTCTCCGCACTTTTGGAAAGTCTGTCTAAGGAATTTTAATCTTTCTATACAAAAACTTCATCTTCTTCATCCCCCTAGAATCAAATCCTGTTTCCTTCGACATGTGCCTCAGTCAAGTTCTTGAAAGACTGAGGTCCAGCTTTCGCTCCATCTTTTGATCTTCTTGGCGGTCTTTTGGGATTTAGGTTTCGTACAATTTTGACCAAACGATTCTCATCCATACAATCCACATAGTCTCTTCGCTCTCTTCTCCTCCCTCTAGCCCATCTCGCTACATCCCTTATCTCATCATTTCTTCGGTCAAGAAGCGTGTTTTCAGTGATTTGTTTTACGTTGAGTATGTATCTCTGTTGTTCGAAGATTTTCGGTGCGAGTAGTATCCGCCCTTGTTTCCACTGCATACGCCATAATCAGGCGTAAAAGGTTGATATCAGGTCCACAAAACACATAAAGACTGGCTTGTTGAATTCAATAGCTTTTTCTACGAGTTGACGTATGACAAATATTACATCCTCGGTGGACCTATTGGGCCTGAATCTCTGTTATTCTGCACGAATACGTTTCTCACAATAAATAATTAAAATTACAAACGTAATGTTTTATGCGTCTCAACGTATGTATTCCATCAATGCGCTATAGCGATTCATAGACGGGTTGAAGAAAGAAAGCACAAAAATCATGTATGGTATATATTGTATGACGAGTCTTTTGGCAACTTTATTTCTTCATCAATTCATTATACGCGCAACGTGCATTACTTTCATATATATTTACAGGCGTACAATTTAATTACAAGCGATGATTAAAATTCAGGCGCATGAGTAACAATCGTTACAATAATTGACTAAACATTCAACGATAGGCGCAAATGATCTTAAGTATATTCTCTTTTTCCACGCACGCGTACACGCATATTTTTCGCTCTCTCTTACATACTTATTCTAATACAAAATTTCGATGAACATCCAGAGATACTCGTTCGAATATTCACTCGGATACATTGTAAATTTCTCTCGAAATTGCAGGGGAGGACACGTCTATAGCAGAAAAGAAGGAAATAAATAAATATTTATAAACGTAAAAGTATAAAATTAACGGTTTTCACTCTGTAACACGGATACATAAAACAGGCGCACTTAATGAATTAATGTTGAGGATGACGCAAAGAAGTGGAGAGTCGATCTCTGGGCGAAAATAAATTCACTACTTAATGTCATTTAATATCAAGATCATATTTTCATGAGATCAAAATGTACACACGAATGACGAATAACGATTTCGAATGTATAATATATATGATCGTGTATACGTTATCAAATATAACACACACACATATACATATATATTGGAATATTTTGAATATATACCTCTCTGAATATTTTTAATGTATACATATTCAAAACATGCTTTTTCGATATTCGTTCATACATTTTGCTCGACATCGACTAATGTTTAACGCGTATAATGGGCACAATAGCAACGATTCGTAGCAATACAACTCTGCTTCTCTTGTTCCGCTATACGGAACTCTCAAAAACATGGGAAAATTGAAGGGAATGAAGATCTTTAATAAATAAGTATGCCTATTTATGAATATATTTCTCACTAAATAAAATCCTTTATCGTAATGGTTGCAGTTTTATTATGACCAGGAGAAGAGGGAGGGAGGGGGGTCTATTTATCACAGCTATAAGCTGTTTTATGTATATATGTATAATTGAGAATATCATCATACTGCGATACTGATTATCGCTTCACTTATACGATACTGATTATCGCTTCACTTCTACAATATATTTACAAATTTCCTGTACACACGTGTCTATCTAAAGGAATCCGCACGAATATGCGCAACATTTAATTTCTAATCACTCGAACATTCGTAAAGACTAAAACGTCACATATTCGCCCCGGATTGCTTTTGAAAGAAAACTAATGCGTTATGATACATATAACATATGCCTCGCGGTTACAGACTAGCAGAATAGTCGTACGAAAATGAAGCAAGCTCGTTTACCCTCGATCGCTTTATGATGTTATCAACAAGTGGAACTCGAGAAAAATTTTCCCTTCGCATATATGAACGCACGAGAGATATCTTACCATACATTTTATCTTATTTTTATCTCCTATTCTATCAGATCAGAGGAATAATTTATTAATTTTAGGATGAACATAAGTAATACCTTAGATCATACTTAATAAGTTACACATATTCTTTCAAATGGGAAATTATTAGTAAATTTAATGGTATGTTTTGTGTATTGTGTGTATGTGTGTGTGTTCTTAAGTATTACTCTATTAAATATATATTTCTCTGTGTAAAATAAAAAAAAATCATAAGCGAATAATATAATTTATAATTAAATCGTGACGCATACTCTAACGTACGATCGATAGGAAGAATAAATATCTAAATGTAAAACTACGAACGAACTTGGCAAACGAGCTCCTTTTTTTTCATTAATTGTGATCCGCATTCGCTCTGCAAAAGCTATACAAAAATCTCTGCGCTACGATCATGACAATGGCAATGACGATTCCGCTCACAAGAATAGTAATTCTGATAAATAATTGCTATAGTGTATTTCATCACATTGCATATAAATAATCACTAGTTTAACGATACGCGCGTAACAATGACTTAAAGCCTAGAAAATATATTCATGGGAAGCTCGAAAAAAAAAGCTCCAGCTTTATTCAAGCATATTATATGATATATACCATATGCATACATCATCAACTATTATATGTGTAGTCTTTAAATGCACGTTAAGTAATAGGACACGTCTTTTATTAAAGTTTAAGTCATTCTGAATGTTTGCTCCTCCTTTTCGCCTTCCATATCCCTTCGTCCGTTCAGTATCCCTTTCCTTTTCTTCACATCACAATTCTCCATCTGCACTCATCCGTCTTGCAACAATTAGCAAATCCCAGGAGGTTTTATCACAGCGCATTCTTTTATCAAATACAAAATGCTGGCACGATCGTTGTTAATATTCGGAATATCTTCGCGGCAAATGTTCGGTCAAGTAAAAAAGTTTTAAATCGAGAAAGGGAATACTTCGGTAGTGCGACAGAACCAGAAGTCCACGTTAAGAAGGAACTTGGATAAAAAGTAAATCGCTACGGTCATCCACGAAGGAAAAGGAAAGATACTGAGATACTTTAACGTCTCATCGAGTATTTCGTATTTTTCGCCGAAGATGATGAAAAGTATTGCCTTTTTTTTTTTCGTAATTATAATATATTTTGGTCGTAAAAGAAAGCCATTGTTAATAGGCGTGCGTAAGACACAATTTTGTTTTCTTGCAGTCAAACTAAAACCGCGACAAGTTGATGAATTTTTGATATACGTCGAAGAAAAAGCGAGTAATTCACTTATTAGGCGTATTGAATTTATCTAATTCTTACCGAGCCCCTTCGGTTTCTCCTATAAATACTGACTTAAATCTAAAGCGTTCTCCGTAAAACGCGACGCCTGCACACTTCGTAAATCGAGGGGTCAACGTAAAGACAGGCAGGGTACACAGTTCGACATTTTCAATCAAAAGATTAAACACGCAAGTACTTACAGATTATGTAAAACGCTTCTCATCTAAAGGCTCAATGTATAACGTGTTCTTCTTTTGTAAAGTATCATGCCAACGCTCTGAATCATGAAAACCGAAAGAAACAGCTTCAAATATGATACATCTCTACTCTGTATACACCACAGGAAACCGAGATTTAATTATTCACTCTTCCCGCAGAGAAGACGTAAGGAGATTTCTTTCCGTATGGCTGATTCCTTCACGATACGTAATTTACGACGATTCAATGAAACTAGTTGAGTAAACGTTTCTTCTTCTTTTACTTTTCGCGTCACAATTATCGCCACAACATGAAGATTCGAAGAACGTCGAGTAGACTGAGTGCTACGAATGAAGAAATCGAAGCGCCTTTGTGGGTCTTCGTAGATTTTCATACCCTAAAAAACCCATTTAATCGACTCAAACAAAATTCTTGAATATAGTGAATATGGCGAACGGATGTTTGTGAGAATCAAATTTGGTTCTCCGATTCAAGTCTTTTTCATTTTCGGAGTTTCAGTTTCGGAGAAGCAAACTTTGATTTTTCGAACTAAAATATTTGCCCATATCGAAAGAAGAATTTTCGCTTGAGTCAATTAAATGAGTATATCTCAGTGTACTCATCTACGCTACCGATAAAACTGAACTCGCCAATGGAGCCGCGAATGGCTCGTACTTGGACTTACTTTACACAGTACAGTAATTGATGTGTGACTGCGACAGCTACCACCGATGTTCTAAGATTTGACTCGCGGCACTTCACTCTTTCACTCATTCTCTCTCTCTCACTCTCTTTCTCTTTGGCGATAGTTAGATATACAGGTAAAAATGAGATAATCCGGACGATCTAACACGAAAACGTAGAAACGCTTCTTAGACCATTGTAGTCGCTGCCGTTGCGTCGATCAAGACCGATCTCCCTCTTATAATTATATACATATATCCTACATATAGAAACTAATCTACATCTTTATAAATAATCTTTCGCTCGGGCGCTCCTAGCAACGGTGGGGTAATCTCGCAGACGATCATCCCGCAGTTTCACGCTTATGACTAAGTCGCACATCGAAGTACTCTCCGTGGCAAAATCCGCGTATCCTATGCATATGTCGTACTGATATCACGAGTGATAATTTGCTTATTAACGAGTGAAACGCAGTTGCGACAGCGACACATACACGCGCATCTCGTCGTATACATCGCTGTGCGACAGTTGTAATAATTTTTTGCAGTCTTCGTTCGCATTCACTATCGTATTGTCCTTCCCGCCAGTCGAGGCTCCTTTTCTACGTATGGAACTCTATGCGTGTGTGTGTGTATGTGCGGGACTAATTAATATCTACAGATCTGCACGCACGCGATGCTATCAAGATACCGAGAATGAATCCTGGAACGAGAGAGGAACATATCGGCTACGAAGCATAACATTTATATCTCGTTTCGGTATACTCTGATAATAAGCAGGACGGGACCGATCTTTCAAACTCGGTGGCCGCGCGAATTATATTAGTTTCCGCCTTGGTTTACACACTGAAGGAAAATGCTACATTCAAGTAAACATTCGCCAAGGAATATCGCAGTAATGATTTTTCTTGGATTCTAAGTAAATATTATTCGAAAAGAAAATAGCGCTATATTTGAGTAATATTTACTTAACGCCTTGATATACGAATAAAACGTACTTCGAAGAGATCCAAAAATACTATTTGACTTGGCTGAATTAAGCAGTTGTGTAAACTTAGAAACAGAGCGGAATATAATAAGATTGACATACGATATTAATTAACAATAAAATCGGCGTACGTCGGAGAAAGTTCTTGACGTTTCAGAGACGTCAACAATGACACCCGAAACAAATGACGTCTCCCAGACGTCATTGTGTGCCAAGGGGTTAATCCAATCCAAGTAAAATCCAAGTAAAATAATTACTCCAATACTCCTTGGCAAATATTTGCTTGAATGTAGATTTTTTGTTTTCAGCGCAGCATTTGGAAATTTCGCGAAAATGATTCCCAGATAGCGTTGTACGGGGGGAACGAGAGCAAATTCTAGAAAGTGCGTTCTTTTACAGAATTACATTCCCGTCCTCTTCGAATTATAAATTGTAGCCCTCAATATTGCATTGTAACTGCGGTTCACGAGTCTCTTCGTCAGCTCCATTCGCCCGCCTTTTTGATTTCACTGAACGCGAATGTTCACGCGCCTATACTTGCTTGGTCAATCTTCCTCCGGCTCGATCTTCTACCTAGAGATGCCGAATCGTGGGAATTGGGAGCCCCCATCATCTGACGTGAGATGCCACTATCACATGCGTAGCAAATACCTGTAGCCAAACAAAGCTTCCTCTCGCCTACGCAAATACACACCCGTAGACATTAGCTGCGTTTAAGATATCAATCGTATAATTTTTTTCCTAGGGAGGAAACGTGAAAAGTGAAAATTCCAAAGTTCCAAGTTAGAAAACTTACACTTTTCGCGAATTTACTCGAGAACAGATTCATGACCCTCAGGTGGTAGATCAAGAATCCTCTCCTTTAGCGTGAACTCGTGAGAAAGTGTAAATTATCTAATTTGAAGACATTTGGCATTTTCACTTTTCACGTTTCCGTTAATTAGTCCAAGTCACACGCAGTTATACATCTGTTCCTATTTAAGTTCCGAAAGTTTGCGCTAGTTCAGTGACAGACTCGATCATTCATCCTCCCTAGATCTAACGGAGGAAGTCTAAAAGACGCCCACTCTGGTCTAACCTGTTCTAACCAGGAGGATATTTATGTAAACGGCAAATTAGATCATTGAAAATTGACACTTGACTAATTGGAACATCACGAGCCAGGATCGGAATGACCGTGTCAAATTCTAATTACTAATTCGCGAACCTTAAATTCCAACACTAGTCTAATAGGAGTTTTACGAGACGATTTCTTTAGGTAAAACAGAATAAGCACCTTTTGGCACCTGCCGCTAGATTTAGAGGGAACGAATCACTGTCCACGGGTGTATAGTGGGAAGCGATTTGGACGCAGCTGAGGTTCAGAGTGCGGCCGATGGGAAAGCGTACGATGAGAAGGCGAATTAGACAAAAAGAATTTCTCTCATCAGCCGCGTTCAAACCGTTTCGCAGCCCACGCCCGTGGCGTCCCGCATCCGCGCGGTATGCGCTTCCAATTCCCACGATGCGGCGGTCTCTGCTTCTAACAGTGCGTTTCCCATTTCCAGGTCGGCTACTTCATCAACTCATCACGCGCGACGGCGAGCAAAGCCTAATCGCGCGGTCTGCGTGGCGATCGATTCGACGCGGACATCGGTGATCCAGTTCAGCCTGTACCTCTGGCGATTCTACTTCAATCAGAAAAACTTTCTCACCATTTTCCTGAGACCGGTGCTCTTCTTCTCCTTCTTGCTGGGCGTGCGCGTCGCGCTGCTGCTCCTCGACTCGTCGCTCTCCTCGATCAAGCCGTGCGCGGCGCTGCCGTTCGCGCTGTCGTTGCTCCGCGGCGACGGGCCCGTGGGCGTGGATGGGACAGACACGCTGTTCGAATGTTCCGAGTCCTGGTTCCAGTTCTCCCACCTCTCGCTGTTCGACAAGAGTCTCCGTTTACTTCTCGAACTTATGGCAGTCTTCATGAAAGAGGGCGAGCTCAGCTTGGCGCCCTTGAGGATACCGCCGGCCCTGAACGAGCTGCTCTTCGACCTCGAGCTGCTCTCGTTCGCGACCGGCCCTTCCAGGCAGCGATCCACAGCACCCGACGACGAGTTCGATTCGCTGAACTCGTCGCCACGGTGACTGAGGTCGGAACTGCCCTTCCGGTCGGGCTCCATCCTAGGCCGCGCAGGCTGCGCGATCCGCTCGATTATCTCCGCCTGCTGGTCGTCGAACCAACCGCTGCTGGTCTCAGGCGCGGACTCCGGCCTCTTGCCGGACGTGTCCTGCGACTCCTTGGGGCGCGGAGGATCGATGGACGACGCTCTCCTCGACGGCAAGGTCGCGCCGCCGGGGAGCGCGTTCAACCCGCTCTTGTGGCGAGTCCCTTCCGCTCTCACGTCGGCGTTGCCCGCTGTTCTACCTCCGGCGGCGACCGCCTCCTTCTTGCGCTTCTTCTTGCGCTCCTTCTTCGTCTCGTGGCATCGCTCGTCGATCATCAGCTCGTGGTACGTGCTGTTGATGTGAGAAGCGATCTCGCTAGGCCGCCGCTTCTTCGTCCTCCTCGCCGCGTCTTGAGCACCGAAGTTCTCCGCGCTCTTCCTACGTGCGCCTTCGGCCCTCGCGTCCTTCGCCTTCTCGTCCTCCTCGAGATCACTCGTTCTGCGACAGTAGGAGAGAAACAAAGTGATAACCATAACTTCGAACCATATGAGCAAGGCGTGCTGGCCGATCGCCGATATCCGACTCTGCCAGCTGTCCTGGTCGTGAAGGAGGCTCTGAACCGATTTCGAGAGCACTGCGATCTCCTCCCTCAAAACGGCGATCTCCTCCACTCTCTTCGCCTCACGCTCCTCGCCCTTCCGGGACTCCTCGCTCATCGCGGACACCGCGCGCTCGAACGAGCGCTGCATCTCTTCGACTTGCTTCTTGTAACGACGACTCAATTCTTCCAGGTATTGTCCGCTCAGCGACATGTTTCTTTCCAAAGCCTGAGGGGGGTGACAATCCGAGTTACTGGCGAAACATTCATTGTAGAGGACAATCTTTGTAATTACAATATCAATAATTATAATATCTTTTTATCTTCTGAAAAAAGAGAGGATTATTCTGAGACGTTCTTTCGAGAACAGGAGAAAGAGAGATCAAATATGACGAGGTGGATAAGATGACGGATTTGCTCATTTTTCTCAGCTAATAAAAATAACGGGCCGGTGCCTAACTCATTAAAGATTTTCAATAATAATAAAAGTTGAAAATTGATTTTTTCTACATATACAAAGATTAATTTTCAACCTTCATAATTTTTCCCACTACTAAAAGCAATCCTGTATTACATATGGATATAAGTTGACGAAATTGACACGTTTACAAAAAACTTAAATTCTAATTTAAAAACTTCTTCTGATAAAAAAACTTAAATTCTAAAAAAACGTAAAACTTAATTCTAATTTATTCCCAAATTTGTTCAGAATTTATGTAGATCACAGAGAAGGCTCTAACTACTCGGGAAAACAATCGATCGTCATTTTTACGTCACTGCGAAAATGAGGGGAAATCGAGAAACTTCGAGATCGTGATCTTACACCTCCCTGTCCTATTCTTAGCAAAAGGAAAGGACCTCTCCTTGAAAGGTTTCTTACCTTGATTCTATTGGACAATCTAAGAAAAACGGACTCTTTCTGAGGCGCCGTGCTCGCCGTGGGTTGGGCCACCGACGACGCGCTGGATGCTCCGTTCTGCATGTTAGCCGCGTCACCTTCGAAGTCCTTCAAGTCGGAAAACAACGTGTCCAGCGTGAGGTGATCCTGTGACGACAATTTAACATCTTGCTCACTGAGATCCTTCGCCTGTCTGCCTTCTAGCTCGCCGCCCTCCGATTTCTCCGTTTTCACTTGCGCACCCACCTCGACGTTATCCGTATCGGACGCGAAAGTGTCGCCGGTCTCTTGGCTGTCGACGTTCACCGACGGGACGTTGGTCACAGTCTGCGACACCATCTCGACGGAAGTACCCGCGATCGGTGGCAGGTCCTCGGCGATCTTCAAGGTCGGCGTCGGTAGGTTCAACGACGGGGCAACGGTGGTCAATGCTTCCGCCTGCAGCGTCTCTTCCGTGGGCTCCTTGCTAGGCTCCAGAATCGGCACGGACGACTCCTTGCGCATATCCTCCTTACTAAGCGTCTTCGTAGGCTTGATCTGCGAGGCCAAGCTCTCCGTGCTGATGGAGTTTTCTATGGACGTCGCGCTGAAATTCTCGACCTCCTCGTTGACGTCCTGCGAAAGGCGCCGTCGGTTCTCCCTGGAGGGGGCGGTCTTGCAAACGGGAGAGTCCGAGTCGAGAGTGCACGTGGCGGATACTTGATGATGCGAGACGACCTCGTTGTTCTGATCGGTGTCCTTGATGGACAGAAGGTCCTCTTTCGCGACGTCCTCCGAAGCGTTCGTGGAGATCTCGTAGCTCGTGTTCATCACCACCTTGCGCTCCTTCGTCGCCAAGACGTTGCACAACGCCGCGATGTACTCCGGTTTGAAGACGGACGCTAAGAAGGACGTCTGGAGGTCCTGCGCCAGGTCGAAGCGCGTCGTCGTCGCGTCGTCCCGCTTGTCCTCCGCAAAGTCCGCCTCCTCTTTCTGACAGAACGAGTCGATCTCCACGCCGTAAAGGGCGCACAGCTTGCCCCGTCTCAAGGTTCTGTTCACCAGGTCGATCCGCAGCAGATCGTCCAACTGGCGGTCCCTGCAGCTGACCAGCTGGAAGACACTGGCGAACTTCTGATCGGTGCAGTTGCCGCAGAGGATCGTGTACCTGGGCGTCATGCAGCTGGTGTACGAGTCGTCCAGGATGTTGTCGCCGTCGATGCTGTGCTGAATCTCCGTGATGTTGTTGCCGGTGAGATCGCTGGACTTCACCAGGACCTCCGCGGCCTTCTTCACGATACTCAGCACGGCATCGCGCGCGCTGCCGAAGAGATTCCTCGACGGGTCGCCGTCTTCGCTGTCCAACGGCTCCTCCTCGTCGCTGTCCTCGTCGTCGTCCTCGCTCGCGTTCGCTTCCTGCAGGATCTGATCCTCCGTCTCGGTTTCCAACACTTCGAACTCGCTGGTGCCGTAAGCCCGAAACAACGAGACGGGACAGAAGTGCTCGGACCCGTAATGAGACTGCAGCTCGACCTTGATGAATTTCCCAAAGAAGTGAGGGTGCAGCGCGAAGCTCTGCACGTCCTTCACGTCCTTAGCTGTGAACTGACCGACCGGGCTCCAGTCCCTCGTGGGGAAGCGGTCGCTCACGTAAACGGAAAAGTCTTTCGGCGACGAGCTGAACAGCTCAAAGTTCGCCAGTTCGATCTTCTTCGCCTGGATCGCCTCACAGAGCTCGACCACGAACCAGACGCGCGACGTGCACGCGTTCAGCATGTACTCGTCCCTGGTGGACACTAGGACGTTTTTCGCGCCACGCGCTTCGGGATTCACCGCTACGATCTTGGCGCCGCAGTCCGGCGATGCATAGTTCTTCGAACGCACCTTCATACCGCTCACACTTCGTCCTGGGCCACCCGGTGTTTGCACAGAGGCGTTTGGATGAGCTGTAACGTCGGCTATCGTAAATTCAATTTTCCAAGCAGCCTTCGATTTCTACTAATAAACTCATTTCGACAAGTTCGATTTATCAGAGATTTAACAGAGGAAAATTATCAAGATTGTCGCCTGTCCATTGACATATGTGAAAATTAAAAATAGTATGTAAGGATATGTAGTAAATGTATAAAATAATGTAATTTCAAATAATGTCGGTTTTGAGACCTAATTTCTTGAAGCGTCAATGCGCCCCAACTCCTCTTAAAAAATAGCTATTTGTAAGAAATATGTAATAATTTTCAAGACTATTATATATTTTAGTAGAGAAACATTGCTGATTTGCATCCAGACGAATAAATTTAAATTTTACATTTCAACAAAACCTAAAAACAAAATGGCATGTCGGTTTTGGTGGCTCCTCCTCTATGTAAATTTAATTCCCCGAGGATTTGCAGAGATAAGAATTCGGATATGCTGGCTGGCCAGAAAAAATCCCAAAATGATAAGATGAATGAACATAATTTGAAGAATACTCGAAAATCAAGCATGAGAACGCTCACTCTTTTTCTTCTCCGCTTCCTCCAAGCGCTTCTGCGCCCATTCGCTGAAGGACGGTATGTCCTCATGCGGATCGGTAGGGCCCGAGGAAACGAGACCGTCCAGTATGACCGCTGCGGTCTCGTCCCTGCTGCCGCCGACCAGCTGCGCCCGGGCCGCCGAGTCGTTCAATTCCGGCGCCGTGGTGAACGCATCGTCGACCCTGGGTATCTCATCGGATATCACATGGCCGACCTCGTCCTCCACCCCCAGCTCCAAATCGTTGATCTTCTGCTCGGCCCTGACGATCACCACGACTTCCGGCGCCTCCTCGGAGATCTTCTTCAGCAAGAGCACATCGTCCTGCTCGACCTCGGTATCGTTCGGCCGTTCCGTCGTATCGTCGACGACAGGCGGCGGTGGGATCTGCGTCGTCGGCAACTGCTCCTTCAGCTCGGGCTGGCCGACCCCACTGCTCAACAAGGAGGAGTTCTTCACGGACGACCTTGAAGACAGCTCACGGTTGATCTTCGGCTCAGCCAGGCTCTGCAGCTCCGCCGCTGCGGTATCCACCAGCGTCAGCACCACCGCCTGCCCGGTCTCGGAGATTCTGCGGACAAAAAGAGGATCGTCGTCTCGTTGTTGGCTCACAGTGCGAATCGCACGCTTCGCCGCATGCAGCATAACGTATTTTCGCGAAGTTGGCGAGCGAGTTTACCGCATCTCACTGCACATCTCGACTTGTTCCGTCTAGTAATCCTGCGGAACGAGTTGTACTTCAGTTAACTCGCGCGTGTGGTGCGCATAATAGCGAGTAACAGACTGTAACATTCCTCGAAACGCGAAAGGTGTCCTGGATAAGGTGTTGTGGTACTATGAAAGTATCGATGCTAATATTGAAACGGGTATCTAATCAAGATCATTGGTATCATTAGTAATGTTAGAACAAAAATACCGACCACTGGTATCGGAACTTTAAAGATAATTTGTAATTAGAGGAAATATACAAATCAGAGAAATGATTATCTTGCAAACTATTTTTAAGGATTTTATCTTTTAAAGATACGTCTAATAATCTTACTATATATAAGATACTTCTGCCTGCTGCACTAGACTTTCTATGATTTGTGATTTGAAAAACCTGAAAAGGGATGTGTTAAGGCTCCTGTGTTCTCGCTGTGACTATCCTGTTTTGATGACATCAGAAGCGAGAAATCGCATGCTAAAAATTATTGCAGTATACGTGGAGAAACAATATAGGAGAAGAGATACAGCGATTGGCAGTTTTAGGGTACATTTTTATTTTAAGCTGCCTCTTGACGCAAAACTGACATTTGTAGAATTCGTTTTTCTATAAAGATTAATCGAGATTCTACGCTGCAAACACATAGTTATATTGAAAAAATAAAATAAAATCTTGCTTAAAATGAAATATTAAAGTGAAATAACGGAAATCACAGTATAATTGGCACTCGTGTCATAATAATTCGTGTACTTATCACAGTAGCACTCATTATAAATACGTTAGAAATAAAAAAATATATCACAATTTAGAGCTAATTAATGACCGAAACTCGATATTTAAGTTGCGCTGCTAAACGATTTATAAACGCACTATTCATATATACTAGCATATCGGCGGCCTCTGGCTGCAATCTAATCCAATGGAGTTAATCAACACTATAATTTAACCCACTGCTTTTCGATAAACTACTTTCTCCTTTATCATCAACAGCTGCACATTCAATGATAAAGTTAGTTTGTTTTAAATATGCCGATATGCTAATTACTATACCTTTGCCAATTACTATATCTCTTCCCCAACGCAAAATGACGCTCATGATTGGCTCCACACATTTGTAAAAATGTCCGGACGCTTCTCTTTTACTTCAGCAACCAACAAATAACTATAAAATTAATGTAACAGAAATCATGAGAAAAGATAAATTTAAAATGTTAGTTGCATATTACACTAATTTTCATGAAGCAAAAGTATATGATATCTTGAAGATCGACTAAGTAAAAGATAAAAAAAAAGAGATTTTGAAAAGATATCGAAACAAAGTTGCTGATATGGGTACAAATATCGAAAGAAAACATCGATACAGAAATATCTGGTGTTGGAAGAAAAATATCGATACTAGTGTTATATCAGCAGTATCACAACATCTCTAATCCTGGATACTTCCAGATGCATGGAATTTTCTGATATTACGGGACAGCAACGCGATGACGTATATTTAATATATGACGTGTGGTTATGAGAACTAGATTAACATCGTAAGAGGAATCTGCGCACGTACGATAGAGTCTCCTCGACTGCAGTCTAGAGCGAAACGTATCGTATTCGCGGATATGCGAGATATGTTTTCCCGTGGCAATAATTATTCCTATATGTTAATGTTATCATTTTCAATTAGAATATATCGTGTCAATTTTCACGAATCGATATCCCGATATCAATATTCCATGTCGAAATAATTATTAATATTGACAGAAGCACACATATATAGATATTTTTGCAAGGTTGGGTCACAGTTTTTATTTTTAATTAAATTAAGTTAAAAATTAATTATGCAAAGCACACATAAATATGTGTGTGTGTGTGTTGTGTTTTTACATAATTAATATAATTAAATAATTACATAATTTACATAAAGTTGCTGCATAATTAACTTTTTAATCGTAGATTAAATTTATATAAAATGATGAAAAGGTAATCTTTTATACAAAAATATCATCTGTTTTATGCTCAGAAATACAAGAAAGAACGCGTTCAGAGAGATGAAAAGAATTTTGCTGGCATTATGTTTTTATTTCTCTTATCCTATATTATAAGCAGCCCCTGTAATACTTTTAAAATTTATAAGTTTTTTTATTTATATATAAAAAAAAACTGATAACTTAAAGTTAATGCACTTTAAAGTAACTAGTTTATATAGTTTAGTTAAAGGTTAACTCATTTAAAACTAAGTTAAATTAAAAGTTACTAACCTTTTAACTTAACTTTTAACTGGTTAACTAGTTACAAACGAGCTCTGCATTTTCGCATAATATATATTTCGATCTACCGCGTCGACTTTCCTCCGTTTGCATCGTTTTCAACCGAGAAACGGTTTAATTCGCTCTTCAGTGATTCCTTTCGAAACAAACTTCCCTGCTGCCCATTCAACCGAGCACGGGAACAGCCGAAACTTTCGGAGATCTCAATTCCGAGGATACGTTCTAGTCACAAAAGGAAATGGAAGAAGAATTGATATTCGTCTAAGAGGCGAGCGGTGATAGTTGAACGCGTGCCAACGTTTCCGAGGAGCTCCGCGCCGAACGTCTAAACGCAAAGAGACGAGCCTGATAAAACGCTTTCCTCTCACCGGTGATAGAGGCATGTGGGAATGCACCATAAAGCGGCCAGTACTGTCAAATAGAGGGCGGCCGCTTGGAGAAGGTGTCTGGGCTGCCCGGCGGAATTGTCGACCCAGTGCAGAGGACATCCACCGTTGTTCTTGACGATGCCTTTGGCCATGACCTTAGGCTGAAGCGCGCACGACGGTCACGACTTCGGCGTTGCTTTGCCCCGTCTCGTCGCGACTCCTCGTTGATGTTGCTGCTGTTCCCACTTGTTCACCATTTTCCTGTTCCTCGGCCTCGCGCGCAAAGAGCGCGTCACACGTTCACTATTCGCGACAGTCTCTCACAGCAAAGGCAGAGGAAACTTCGCGCACACCACCGGCCGTTGCATCACGAGCCGTCGCCGTCCTCTTCGTCTTCGAATCGATTTCTATCTCGCTGGAAAGCCGTAATCGAAGAGCTGTGCCGCTTGGAGCACGTACGCGTCAGCTTGTCCTTGCGAGAATTGTGTGCGGCTATCTGTCGCAGCTGGATCTAGCGACGTGTGAATTCTTTATCGCGCAGTCTACCCAAGGTCTGTCACTCGATCGCGCCAAATACAGAATTTAAAATACCGATGCGGATGTAGAGCAACGAAAGTGACTCTCTTTCTCTCCCGAATATCGAATATATTCTCAACACAATCGGGACGACACGCGTCGAACGGACGGGGAGAAAGAGAGAGATCTCGTCCCAGTGTTCGAAGGAATTCCACATCTCCGCGGATATATGTCAGGCAGTTTCGGAATAAACAGCTGTGCCAGCGTGGCCAATTTTTTACACGGACGAAAAGAAGCAGCTCTTACAGCTAAAAACTAACTTCCATAGGCCAAAAATAGTTGTCCACACAATATAACTAAAATTTAATTAATTTAGCCAACTTTGTTTTTCCCTACATCTAGTATTTAGCTTCCGCACTTAAACACTAGGTTATTTAATTAAATTTCACTTTCCAAAATTATTATCCAGTTGGAAAATTTACACAAGTTCTAGCTAAAAGTGTAATGTTTGGAACATACGAGATTCTAAGTGGGAAAAGTAAACGGAGACTATTTAGTCACCACTAACGTCTTCCGGAAAACTGTTTTCTGGGTTTCTATTTTATACATTACGATGGAATAAAATATACGAAACACTATATTTTACAAATATACAAACACTAAGCGCGTGCTATGAAACATGTTAACATTAATATAATCGAATAACTTAACTTCCTAGTCTGATATTCGGTCAAATCACTTTACTCTGGTGATGAAATAAGCCGCAGCGACTTAACGAAACTTAACGAAAAAGAGGCTTTATCTCATGTTTGACGTAAAAATGAAATTTCTAGTTGGTACCCGTAATGAGATAATCAGTTTTGATACAATTTTGGATATTCTAATCGGAATCTATGCTGTGTATGGGACAATTTCTATGCGGGTACAGACAAAGCCGACCAACACGCGGCCATCAAAGCGGTCTAGTGGATGAAGTGGTCGATTGATATCGCGCTCGCTTGTGTAAAAAATGATGCCCTCGTGTATACTTGAGCGTGTCGTTTACGAGGATCGTTTGCGTCAAAGATTACACGGTCGTTTATTCCGGTATTACCTATATGGCACGTGTTCAATTAAGAGGCACGAGCCATGCGACATTTATTATCGATGCCTGTATATGTGTTTGAAACGGCTGCTGTTGGGAGGATGCCGCTGACATGCATATTCAATGCTCGGAATTGGTACGAGGGCGCGAAGAGAGATCGCACGCGATTCTCTGTCACATCACATCGCAGCTAATCACCGTCAATGTTGACTTGTAATGATTCCACCGAATCGAGAGAACCCGTTCCTCTCGTTTAACCTATATAATTCATCTTTAACACGTTTACTGCCATGGAGGTCACACATGACCGGCGCTATAATATCGTCGTGCCTCTCTCTTTCTCTCTACTAATTTATATATAAAATGTAACCAACTTACTTGTAACAAATTAAACATTAACGAAATATTAATTAAATATAAGAAATTAAATTTGTAGCTGATAGAGAGGCAATAGGGAGAAAAATTAATATCAATATTTTTAATGAAATTATATGGAATTTCTTCGTGTAAACAAGTTTTATCTTCACATAAAATTAGATATTTTTGCTTATATATGAGAATATGAGTCTTGAATCGATATTAATTTCTTTCCATGAAGGAAATGGAACTAACAAATATATGCATCGCGAGTCGTACTTATTTACCGTATCTTCGGCGATTCAAGCCCGAGTGAAATATTGAAGTAATCAGTGAAAATCAGCGTGGCAGCCAACGTATTAATCCGTGGAAGCTATCCGTTTTTGCGCGCCGCGCGTAGTATTAACATCGTGCGAGATGTTAATTTATATTTGCACTCGATATCGAAAGGAGATTTATTGCTGCCCCCTCTCTCCTCTCCCGATCTCCGAGCTCGCGAAAAATATTTTTATCGCAATGCGATAATATAAATCTCACGGTGATTTGACGGTAGTACACGTACGCACGATCGTGGCCGGCAATAAATTCCCGGCGACGCGCTGAAAGTCGAACTTCGCGCGAAATACTTGGCGCGGCGAGAAGTACCGGCGAGCTATATTACCGGTTCGGCTAATGGTCCGCGTATAACTAATTAGAAAGTACTAACACTCGCTTCCTCTCTCGAGTAAAGGTGTGCGCTCTGATCAGTGGTGTAAATTGAGACTGACCGGGACTTGGCGGGATCAAACAAAACGCGGAGAGCAAAAGCTCAGGCTCTCCGGGGATACATTGCAAATCCAAGTATATAATTTTACATATCGTCACTTTTTATGCATTTATATGAATGTTAATATTATGATTTTACACATACAGGTGTGTGAAAATTACACTTGGATTTGTCGGTGTAATCTCTACACACTTATGTGTGCAAAATTATACCACTCAAGTCGGAATTTTAATCTTACTTTAAGTCTAATTTAATTCTATTTCTTAGTTAAGTGTTCAAAGATCTTGTATTGTGCTCCTTCGGCGCTGCAAATGGAGAAGTTATTGCCGTTTTCTCTACTCGAGGACCTAATGTAGAATTTCAAAGCCCGATCTGAATATAAATTACAAATGCGTAGAAAGTGACGACACAAAGTGCGTGAAATAACACACTTGGATCTGCGGTGTAACGTTTATAGGGCGCATTGTGCACCGGGCGTCGCGCGGCGACGGGAAAATCGACTTCCGCGCGCGCCGCTTCCGCTAAAAAGAACGATTATATCTCTATTACGACGATGACTTCGAAAACGACCGACTTATCGCGTGTGCATTTAATCGGAACGAATGGCGCATTGTGGACAAACCCCGCGCAGACGGAGCCGATGTCACCGTGAATGGTAAAAGCCTCGCCGTCGAGATCGTTTCACGGTCTGGCGAGCATCGATCAATGAGCGAGCGACCCGCCGCTGCGAAACCACGACGCTCTGTCTACTGTCAGTTCGAGCTTAACCCGCGAACACCGATCAACGGTGCGCTGCAATTGAGAATCTCCGGGCGAACTAATGGCGACGACGCCGGTGAAAATGGTCGCCGAAATGGATACGCGGAGCCGCGGGGACGAGGAACACCGCGCTAATAATGAAAGATGAAGAGATAGGATCGCGCGGCGCGCACAACGCGCAAAAATGTATTGCTTTCTATCAACGACCCGCTTTCGAGACCGACTCGGGCGTGAGTGCGCCGCGCGAGCCTCTCAATGTATTCCCCTTCAAAGGGAAAATAATAACGTCCATAAAGGACCGACCGACTGTTCATTCATCATTCACGGATATAAAGTACAACACGGTCTAAACCGCGATGCGCGATCAGGCCGAACAAAAAGTTCAATTGAATCGCGAGGGGCTCCGTAAAGCCCGTATGCGAGAAATCGGCCGCGGTGATTTAGAGAATTTTCAAGTAACCGCAGGTACTCTTTTGTACTTTCATTAGCGGCCGTCGAAAAACGCGTAATTGCGGACGCTCGTCGCGACACGCGCGAATCATTTAAATATCCACGGAATCGCAATGCGGCCACGAGAACGTCGGGCGAATGCGCCTTCGAATAACGATTCGGAATATACGTTGCGTTTGCAAATATATATTAGCGCGCATGTAAAATATATATGAAACACAGGCTAGCGCCGGGACAAATGCGCTCACGTGTTCGTTAATTTCGCGGAGAGAAATTAGCCGGCGAGCGTAGAATTTAATGAATCGAGATCTCGCTCGCGTATATTCGCCGGTATACCGATATTAACGCGCCTATTATTTCACGCTCGCGGATAATTCGGGAAAACTGGGCAAAGCGCGCAGCCGGGGCGACGATTGTCCGGGCGATCGAGCAGCGACCGGGCCTGTTAACCCTCCCCGTCGACGCCTGTACAGCGCAATCGAGGTTTTTCGCGTGGAGGCACACGCGCGAGTCACCGCGCAGGTTTCATTCACAGGTTACAATCATTTCACGTAGGCAGGCGAAATGATCAACGGTGCATTTCCCGTTTCTTCAATGGGCTATTAATAACGCTTCGTGATTCAAGAGTCATTCACCGTGCTGATTGTTACGTAACTCAATTACGAGTGTATGCGTCCACACGCGACACCGGGCTGCGTTATAACGCGAGAGAGACAGTCGTGAAAACCGTCGCTCCGCCAGACGGAACACGTGTCGACGAAACGTGTCGTCTATTCCTCTGTAGGAACGATTCGGCCAGTACCGGCGACTGATGAGATACCAATTCAGTAGTGAAATACGGATTTCACGTCGCGATACCATTGACTTAAATGGGAAAGCTAGAGATGTCATGTTAACGTGGAACCTAAGTAGCTTAGTGGTAAAAGCGGTCGCCCGGCAAACGGGGAAGACCCGAGAGTTTTCGATTCCAGCCGAGTCTGCCTCGCTACAACGTTTTTCATTTCGCGTGGCATTAAAAGCGGATATCTGCGGGTATAAATAAGCAGCCCCGGCCATAGGGCGCGGCGTGATAGAACAGTTTGTAATATTTTACTTGGACCGAGTAAATATTACATAATCCAAAGAAAAATTTGCCGAAGAGCATTGGAGTAATTATTTACTTGAATCTAGTACTTGTTCTTCCGCGCATGTATAAGAGCCAAGTTTTATCTTCAAGTAAGATTATATATTTTTGCTTATAAGTTAGAATATGAATTTCGAATTGATAGAAATTTTTTCCTATATAGAATTTCCAAGATTCGGTGTTCATTCGGTGATCACCGAAGGCATCACCTGAGGGCGGTTCATTTCTATTCTCCCCTCCGCGGGAAATACGGTGCGCGACAGACGCGGGGAAGATTTTCTGAAACATTATTATATCCGTTTTATCTGAGCCAGGCGTGTCGCCCACATCTGCATGATTCCAGAATAACATCATACGCGCAATGTGAGCGTAATACACTCCGTCATAAATTACGTTCTCGCACGAACCGTCTCATTATTGGTGATTATTATCGCCACATTGTATAATACAGGGCCC